CTTTTATCCCAATTTCCCGGCAGTTCCCTTTTTTTATCCCAACTTCCCGTCTGCAGTTCCCTTTTTTTATCCCAATTTCCCGGCTGCAGTTCCCTCTTTTATCCCAATTTCCCGGCTGCAGTTCCCTCTTTTATCCCAATTTCCTGGCAATTCCCTCTTTTATCCCAACTTCCCGGCGCAGTTCCCTCTTTTATCCCAATTTCCCGGCAGTTCCCTCTCTCTTTCCCCATTGCTGAGATCCTTGAGAGGTTCAGGCTCTGATGAAACCCCCCTTCTATCATCCATTGCCCCCTTTAATATCCATCTCTGTGTCTGTGCTCTTGCAGTCCATGAACACAGTCTGGGCTCAGTCAATCCCTGCAATTCCCATGGAAATCCTTCTCATTTTTCCTTCTCTCTCCCAGGATCAGCCTTATCTCACCCCCAGATTCAGTCTGTTTGTAAAGACATTCCCGTTTCATTCCTTTCATCTGCCTTGCCCAGCCCTCAGCAGTGTGGGATCCCCACGTGGGCTCAGTGGAAAGGGATTTGTGAGGTTTTTGTAGGTTTTTGTAGGGTGAGGCAGGGAAGAAGGTCTTGGGGTCCCACATTTCCTAAGAAACTTCTCTTTTTTTCTGGAAGCCTTCATTGCCTGCATGGAAAACGTTCCAATTGGCATTTTCTCTTTGATCAGCCTTTGAGGTGGCGATTTATTTGGGTTTTGGACAGAATGACACGGAGGGATCTGAGTCTGCCTCCTCTCTGTTCCCCTGCAGAAAGGGCACTTTGCTGATAAATAACCTCTTCTCCATCGCTGCTGCCATCCTGATGGGAACCTCCGAGCTGGCCAAAACCTTTGAAGTGATCATCCTGTCCCGCGTTATCATGGGGATATTTGCTGGTGAGTGGATGGTAAAGGCAGAGCAGTAAATTCCTCCCCGGCTGTGTAAAGGTGTTTTATTGTCCCCACTGAGGCTTTCCCAGGTATCACACTTCAGGATCTGCATGACAAAGCTGTGCTTTGGCTGTTTTGTTGTGCTGACGACAAAATACTAAAGATCTTGGGGAGATAATGGCCCTGGGAGTGGAATTTGAGCTCCAGGGGGGAAATGTGTGCCTGTAAAAGCAGCAATAAACATCTGCTGGGCCCTGAGGGAGGACAAGCTCTTTTCCCAGACAGCCCAAAGCAGGCAGTCCACTTTTGTTCCTTTTTAACATAACCAGAATAATCCATTAGAATCATTACAGTCGATGCCAGATCCAATAATCCAGTCTGGGAACTGYCTGTTCTGACAAAACCACGTTAAAAGGGGAGATTTGTAGGATTTTCTGCAGGRACCCAGGGCAGCCCAGGATCTCTGGTGTGAGTGAGTGGCTCTGCTGGAGCTGCAGTGACAGGGGACAAACAGAACCGAGCTGGGCACAGCTYTGCAGGGTCCTGAGAGCATTTAGGCTCGATTAATTGGCTTTGGGCTGGCGAGACTGGCACACTCCGTGCTTTGTTAATGAGCTGAGATAGCCTGCAAAGACAAATTTCCTGCCTTAGCTCCCCAATAAATTGCTGCGTGGACAGATCAAGTTGCTTTCCC